AGCTTGGAAATAACTGTTGAATGTTTCCTGTACAGCTCTCTACCCTGCAAATAAAAGACAATATGCATAAGCTAGCAGTCAGTAGATCTCAAGGGGGCACACTGACTAAAGGATGCAGCATTACAGCCATTACCTAGCCATGTACTTGTTGGTGAGAATTTATATAAATATAAAGAATGAAAAAGACGACAAGAAAGATTGGCATTAGGCCAACTCCTTTTGATTCTTTACAAACACATCTGAAAGTTAACATGTGGGCTGTGGGCATCAAATCAAAACAACAAAAAGAACATGGATTCAACCATAAGTAGCATTTGCCCTCCTTTTTTTGAAAAAAAAGAAAGATACTGCAGAGTTATAGGATTGTCAATCTTATCAACACTATCAATTTTTGGCAATTGTAGAACTCAATCAAGACACCCATTGAAGTGCTACATCCCTAGCTCGCAACCCAATTAAGAGTAAGTTCTCGCAAGCCTAGCTCCCCAGCCATTATTAAACTGCATGAAGGGCTCCGAAATGAAGACCACTATTTGAAAAAAGAGTAAATGATAATCCCAATCAACTAATTGTCTTAACTTCGTTTTCTTAGCAAAAAAAATAGTTTATGCAATTCCATAATAGTAAAAAATAGTTGGTTGCCGGAGACCCTACGCATGGACATCTTGACATACAGATTCTCTAGCCTATCCAGCTCACCCTAGCATCAGCGAGGAGCACCTGAGCTGGTGCCACCACTTATTCCGCAACTGCCACCAGCTGTGGAGTCCTTGATTGACGAGTATCAATGCTAAACGAAAATGTATTGCACACTGTTTCAAGTATACATACTCCTAATACTATTTATATTCAGATTCGAATTATGAATATATGATGACCGATGATAGTGAAAAACTAAATTTATTGCACAACTGAACTGAATTTGCTAAACTCTAACAAACAACCATTAGTCTGAGAATTGAAACAAAAGGGCAATGACGGCTACACTTACGTCAAGCAAGTCGGCGTCGATCCTAAACTTCCACAATGGCAGACCAATTCCGTCGCTTGAGTTGTCGCCACTCAGGCCTTCTTGTCCAGCAGGATCGAACAAGAATACACCAGGAGCCATCTGCAACAACGCACGGCTCAGTACAGTCCCTCGTAGCAGTGTATCGAGAAATAAATCAAATAATACACCAGAACCAGGATGCTTGCTGATGGATCTCGCTACCACGTGACTCCCTCAACCTTGTTGCCGCTGGATCCTATGGACCTCGCCCCGATGGAGAGGGCATCGCAGAGGAGGCTGGCGCCGGAGGAGATCTTAATAGCAACGGTGAGGATAGGGAGAGGTAGGATGCAGTTATATGAGCAGGTTCCAGTAGCACCTCGTTCACACAGGAACATGATTAAATAAAATTTGCATAATCTCAAATATGCAGCGATCATCTTATAGTAGTGTTTCTCATGAAATCATTGGCTGAGTAAAGAAATTGAAGGAAAAAAAGTATCATCTAGAATAAGATGAAATCATAAACCACACCTGATAAAGCAGTTGCAGTCGCCTTCTGTTAGTGCGGCATCGTCGAGGGCCTCTTCGCAGTCGTCCGACGGCGGTCGGTGTTGATGGCATGGCTATCGGATGAGGAGGGGGCATTCCGGCGACGTCTGAGGGCCGGATTGGCGTCGTGGCGTCCGGTCGACGAGTGCCTGGCGTGCGGCGGCGGCAGGGCGTTGTGGTGTCCAGCGTCTTCTGCGGGGTGGTGTGGATTCACGAGAGCGCACCACGAGGACAGGAGGGGCGCGTCGATGTTGGCCTGGCGTCGATCGACGATCCGATTTACGTGGAGATGAAAGATATCTGACCGAGCGAGAGAGGGGCACCGCATGATTGTTTCCTTCCATGCATGATTATTGTTTCCTTCCATGCATGTGGCCTCAGGTGATCGATTTGTTTCCTTCAAAGCAGGCGGGGATCGCAGGGATGGCAGTTTCTTTTTCTATCGCGCGGGGTATCGCACGGCCGGAAGAGAGGAGCGACCCCAAAAAAAGTCGCACCAAAAAATTATCTTACTTTTGTTCTTTTTAGTTATAGGAGATTTAGTCCAACTTTAAATCGTCTGACTCCTCGAAATGTAAGAATTGGATTCATTTTTTGGACCAATGGAGTAGTCTTTTATTGGTTTCTTTCGTTGCCTTGCCCAATTTTAATGAGAGTGATGTAATAATATGTAAGTTTAACTTATACATACTACGGTTTTACTTTAAAAAAATCCCACGGCAAAGCACGAGTGTGTGTATATATATATATATATATATATAAACCTAGTGCAAAAGATGTCTAACTGGACACATAAAGCGACCTCTAAAAATACTAATTGCATTGTCTTCTTTCTTTGATGGTCCATAACTCGATAGAGCTTGAAAACACATTGAAAAGATGGCAAATGAAAGGGATGCATACAAAGAACCTCGCCATTCAAAAGTTTAAAGACCCAAAAAATCACTCGCCCACTTGCAACATGATCTATACTGAAAAAGCATCGTCCCAAGGAACCTTCAAGGAACACAAGCTTACAAACATTCAAGTGATCAACACGTAAATATTTGTAGTTTTACCATACGTTGTGATCGGAGGTGGGCTAGCACTCAATGACACAGGATTTATACTGGTTCAGGCAACGTGCCCTACGTCCAGTTTGAGTCGGTCGATGACTTTATTCCTGAGCCTAGGTGCTTGAAGTTTACAGTGGGGTTACAAACGAGAAGGAGAAAGATGGGGGTACAAGAGGTCCGGTCGGACTCTGGTCAGAGAGGCCGAGAGTGACGGGAGCTCCGACGTGTGCTCGTGATTTGAACCTTATGGTTTTGTTGTTGTGTACTAATGAACCGATCGATCCTCAATGAATTTAGTCTTTTGGGAGAGAGCGCATCCCCTTTTAGATGAAGGGGGTGGCCTTACAAGTGAGAGAGAGAGAGTACGTATGTTACTAAGTCTTATTGCCCACGCCGGCGGGTACAAGATGATGGTAGGCGCCCATAATACTGTTTAATGTCAGATGCATGTGAGAGGTTGCGTCGTCTTCTTCAGATATGGCAGATGTCGATGTCTGCCATACTGTTGATACCCAGAGGCATGCAAGGGGTTTTACCATGTTCGCCTGGTACAGTAAATGCCGGCGCCCACAACACTGTTGATGCCCCAGAGGCACGTGGGGGAGCCTTACCGTATTTATCTGGTATGGGAGTTGATGGCGCCCATAACACTGTAGGGGAAAATGTCGGCGCCTACAACACTGCTTCGGTTCTGTCATGCAAGGGAGGTCGCAGGGTTCTGTCTGGCAGGTGCACAGGGTACGGTCCCTGGTATTGCGGTTTGACTTGTGCGCCCTACCTTACTTTCTCCGTCCGTTTTCTAGCCCTTACCGAGCGAGCGTCCCCGGTCGGTTGGTCACAGTCGGCTCTGATCGCGCCAGTCGGAGTGAAGCTGTAAGCAGGGGTTTGACGTTTTCCCGGTTGGAGAAGCGGGTCAGAGTCGAAAGTGGTGTTTTGGCCAGGCCTTCCGGTCGAAGAGGCCGTCCGGAGGTGGGCTAGAGACCGAAGCGAGCGCTCCGTTAGGAGAGGCGGGCCGGAGTCGGAAGCGGGCGCCGTTCCTCCTCGGCCAGGCCTTTCGGTCGGAGATTGGATCGTCCTTCTGGCTTATCGTTTAGGTACTGGGGCCGGCCCAAGAGTCACGCGCTGGTTCGCAATGTTGTCTGCTGGGCCGAGCCATTGCTGGGAAGCCGGTCCATGAGGGACTCCGGGTTTATGAACCCGACACAACCGCTTTCTCGATAAATGCACCAACTGCCGAGATTTGTAGGGAGCTAACAGATATAACAGAATATACTCTCGCTGGCGCTTTGCTGTTATTGTCACCACCTTGTAAATGACGCTACAAACTTAACCCAAGATGAAACAAGAAATAAAGAAAAAATAAATAAATCTATTAAGAGAACGAGTCCCTACTCCTTTGGCCACCCACGAGGTCATCGGTAGAGAGAGAGGAGGGACCTTTGGCGATGGTGGCGAGAGGGCCTAAGCTGCAATGATTGAATGAGCAAGGTTTTTTTTGTTTCCAGGAATCCTACTTAAAAAGTTTGTATTGTGTACCTTGTCCAACCACCTTGCACTTTGGGCGCTATCCTTCCATTCGATCGAATGCTGCTAGTTTGTCCATTTGATCTTGTAGCGCAGGACCCGACCGGCTATCCTTCCATTCGATCGAATGCTGCTAGTTTGTCCATTTGATCTTGTAGCGCAGGACCTGACCGCTCTCTCCCACTTCCTCTCTCCTCGTTCGGGCTCCCCCACGTGCTCCATGCCCAACCTCAATCCACTCACCCCCACGCTCCATGCACGAACAAACCTGCGTTGCCACCTCCCCCTGGCCACTGCCTCCCCTGCTCTAGCATCACATACGCCTCCTATTTTCTTTACCACCACCCGTCACCAATCTACCACCCTCTTCTCTTTTTACAACCGTTATGTGTGATCAGTCAGTACTGTTGTTATCAATGGATCTTAGTGATGATATATTTCCATGCTTTGATAGTACGACTACATACACTTAATCCTCATAAGATAAGATCTAGAAATGATTATAGGCAACACTGTGAGGCTTTAAAAGGATCGAATTGCTTAAGAGGACGGTTGAATTAGGTTTAAAAAATTAAAGCAATAATAAAAACTTCAACATATGCAAATCGATTTCACATACTTGCACCGAGGCACCTAATGCTAAAAGTATCACACTATCGGAGATGCTTTTAGTGCTTGTTTGGAATTAGTTAACCCAAGAAAATTTTTATAAACGGATGATGTTAACATTAACTATATGCTAATGAAAACGTTGAGCCAATGTTCAGTTTAATGGCGCCGTATTTTTTCAGTTAAAAATTAAGAAAAAGAAAGAAAGACGGCAGACGGGAAGATCAGGGACATTCAAAAATTGCCTCCTCCAACACACCGAGTCACCAATGGAGCAGGAGCTGCTGAAGATCCTGCGCGGCCTCAAGTCCCCGCGCCACCTGCTTCAGACCCACGCCCAGCTCCTCGCCCGCGGCCTCTCCGCGAGTCCACGCCTCCTCCCGGCCCTCGTCTCCGCCGCGTTCTCCATCTCCTCCTCGTCCCCGCGCCAGGCCGCCGCCGCGGCGATCCTTCACGCTGCCGGCGCCGGCGCCTCCACCGTAGCTCACAACACCCTCATCGAGCGCCTCGCCGGGCGCGGCGGCGGCGGCGGCGGCCGGGACTGCTCCGCGGCGGACGCGTTCGCGGCCTACGCCGCGATGCGTGCGGCAGGGGTGTCCCCCAACGGGTTCACCTTCACCTTCCTGCTTCGCGCGTGCGAATCACTGAGGCGGCTGCCGCTGTGCCGGTGCGTCCATGGACAGGTCTTGAGGTCTGGGTTCGGCTCCGACGTTGTCGTGCAGAACGCTCTCCTCAACGTGTACTACAAGTGCAGCGACCGGGGTGATGTTGGGGTCGCTCGCAAGGTGTTCGATGAAATGGCTGATAGGGACGTGGTTTCTTGGAACTCCATAGTTGGTGTGTACATGTCGAGCGGAGATGCGACAGGGGCCATGGAGTTGTTTGAGGCGATGCCGGAGAGGAACGTTGTCTCCTGGAACACTGTTGTCGCTGCATTCACGAGGGTGGGGGACATGGTGTCGGCACGTGCTGTGTTTGATAGGATGCCGATCAGGGATGCCATTTCTTGGAATCTCATGATCTCAGGGTATGCAGCAAGTGGCAATGTTGAGTCTGCAAGGTCACTTTTTGATCTAATGGATCGGAAGGATGTGGTTTCGTGGACAGCTATGGTCTCTGCCTATGCAAAGATTGGGGATCTAGATTCAGCTAGAGTGCTGTTTGATCAGATGCCTGATAAGAACTTGGTTTCGTGGAATGCAATGATAACAGGGTACAACCACAACTCAAGGTATGATGAGGCACTGCGCACGTTTCAGCAGATGATGCTTGAGGGAAGATTCATGCCTGATGAAGCAACATTAGTAAGTGTCGTCTCAGCCTGCGCTCAGCTGGGCAGTGTTGAATACTGCAACTGGATCAGTTCTTACATTAGTAAAAACAACAGTCATATAACTGTTGCATTAGGAAATGCTCTCATAGACATGTCTGCAAAATGTGGAGATGTAGGAAGGGCACGGTTAGTTTTTAATAAAATGAAAACAAGATGTGTCATTACATGGACAACAATGATATCTGGTTTTGCTTATAATGGACAGTTTAGAGAAGCTCTGTTGATCTACCATGATATGTGCAGAGAAGGAGTCACACTGGATGATACAGTCTTTGTTGCTGCACTTGCTGCTTGTGCTCATGGAGGTTTATTGCAAGAAGGTTGGAGCATCTTTAAGCAAATGGTTGAGCACTATGGGATTGTGCCAAGGATGGAGCATTATGGATGCATAGTGGATCTACTTGGTCGAGCTGGTAAGTTACAGGAGGCAGTTCGATTTATTGAAAGCATGCCTCTTAAGCCTGCAGTTGTCATTTGGGTAACTTTGCTTAGTTCTTGCATTACACATGGTGATGCAGAGTTGACAGAGTATGTCAGTGCAAGGGTAGTTGAAATAGAACCTTTTAATTCTAGTTATCAAGTGTTGGTTTCCAATTGTAGCGCCCTAGAGGGAAGGTGGGGCAGTGTGATGGATGCACGCAGAATAATGCGTGACCGGGGAGTTGAGAAAACACCTGGTAGTAGCTTGATTCAGGTAGGAAATGAGGTACATGAGTTTTTGGCTAAAGACACAAGGCACAAGAAAAGGAAAGAGGTATATGAAACTTTGGATGGTTTAATAGCCCTCATCAGACATACAGAGCACACCCCTTGGATAAGTTATTGCAGCACACTTGAGTAACAGAGAGTTCTTTGAGTAGTTGCAACCTTACTAAGTCAACAATAAGTTCCAGGCTAATTCCTGTGGGAGGCCTTTTGTCTAATAGGCAATCTAGGGCTGATGAGCTTTGTAGCCAAGATTGTGATTAGATCAACAATTTATGCCATCATTGACACCAGCTGAGCATGTGCCAATCTTAAAGAGGAAGTACCTACTTTGCATCTCAGATGTTTCATTGAAGTAAGTTACTGACTCAAAGTTGTCTTCTTTATTATAAATTCATGTATGTAGAGACCCAGTTTCAAGCTTTTCTAGTTACTTTTGGCCCCTGGGATCCCTGCACAGGTAAGCAGCTAGCTTACCAGCACACACACACTCAATTTGGCTAGAGGTAGAAGAAGGGGTTGAGCACAGCACACACACAGCCGAGCAGCAGCTTTGCTGCTCTGAATGTTGCTTCAGCTGAACTGAGTATTGCATTGCCTAAGGTGTAGTATATATACAACTCTTGTACCAACTATAAGGTACACAAGAGTATGGCTGGGTACAGACCCATCTACTCCTAGTACAGCAGGTACCTTGCTTAGATCAGCCCACTACCAACATGGCTGATGTAGTTTCTACCAACTACTAGTACTAGATGGCCTATTGCCTTACAAGCTACAGCACTAGAGAATGGACAGCCATGCTGACCAGTTCCAACTCCTAATCTGCAGCAAAGAGAGATTTGGGGAGCAGCAGATTATGTCTTACAGTTACAATAAAAAAAATTGTTGAGGATTATTTTCCACTGATGATCTACCTGGCTCATTGCATCTTGTTGAATCTTGTATCCTCGTTCCATCAAATTGATGAGATGTCTTGCTTTCAACATCTTAATACATTTTAAAACAAGAACAAAAATGCTAAAACATAACCATTCAAAGAGTTTACTGATGATGTAATTTTAGTCCATTTAGTGCTAACACAAGTTACCATGTTCATATTGAAATGGAGTTCTATCCTGTTGCTTCTACACCTACATTACTATGTAGAGTAAAACTATCTTATCATTTTAGGTATATTCACATGGTTTTCATCTCTGGGTTTACAACGAATTTGCATATTGTTGTCAGTATTGCTCCAGTTTTGTATTAGTTTCACACTGTATGTGATGTTTCTAGTTCTGCGCCTTAAGGGCAGCTGTCAGTGGTTGGGCCTTGATAATTTTGCTCTTTTTTCTACTCCCAGTTGTTTTTTATTTGATTTCCTAGAATCCTTGGTGTCAAACTTTATAAGGTTTGACCATTGATAGGTCTGAAAATATCAATATTGATTATATGAGAATGATATAGCTTATAGTTAGATTTGTCTTCAGGAATGCTTTCAAAAGTTTAGATTTATTAGAATATATATTAGTAATATAGTGATCAAAAGAAACTAGTCAGAGTGATGTCTCAAAAAACAATAAAAAACCACAAGATAGAGATAAAGGTCAAATAAGAAACCAGAAAGTATTTTGTGAACTTGAATTTCTCCCTCTAGTGAAAATGCATTTTAAGAGTAAAAGGTTGGTCCAGTGTTGAATCTTCATTCTGGATGTAGGCTCCCCTGTCTTTCCTATTTTTTGTGACCAAACTTCGATAAATCAGCCTCAACTCATCGTTTGTTATGCTGCTGTGGTTCCAGAAGGTTCAGAGTGCTTTGGTATCACGGTTTTTTTTTCTTTAGAGGAAAGGAAACCAATACTGGATGTCTGGATCATCCTGTTTCATCAGTTTCTTGCTCTCCAGCCTTTTTCATTTTGCTCCTCTGTTGCCTCAAATTTTTATATTGTATACTGCAGTAGAACTGGCTATCCTTGAATTTGTTCCACAATAATACCATATACCATATTACATTTACATGTACTTGAGTACTTCTTTTGAACAAGGCATCCATTGGATCCTCCTTTTTGTGCAGGCTGGGGAATTGCATTGATATCTTAGGACTCGTGCTTGCAATTTGATATATTTAATATACTTTCCCCACAAAATTGTAGCAACTTTGATAGAATTGAGTCCTTTATGCTGCAGCTGTGAGCATATCTTACTTTGGTGAAGTTGAACGAGTTTGTTTGCAATGTGCTTTGACCTTTCAAGTCTGTAAAATTTTCCAGAACTAACTTATATTGTAGATCCTCCATGTGCCCAGTTGTTCAGTTGACACGTTAGATTTCTGGATGCAGTTGCTATCTTCTGGTCCCATAAATAATGGTACTCACATCACACATGCTGGAACCCGGAAGCATCACTTCATGTCCAACCACCCAAGAGTACTACAGTGCTGGGTGCTGCTCAACTAATTGCGGTGGTACTTTTTGTGTTTGTCATGTGTACCTAGGACGATGCATGGACAGCCTTTAGAGCAAATGGCCGTGACCACAAGAGGTAATCTAATCTTATATTGTTCATAGCTGCAGAAATGGTTAATCGTAAACTGTTTCATTTACTCTGAGTGATCTGCAGGCAGATTCACAAGAGAGAACTGCCTCCGTGCATAGTTGATAGCTCGACGCCCTAAATGGGAGCAAAGTGTGATTGACGTCTCCAAATTTTGGTAAGACAAAGACAAGCTTCGCCTGAAGGGCGGGCCTGGTGCAAGCGGTAGAGTCTTACCGCCTGTGACGGAAGGTCCCGGGTTCGAGTCGCGGTCTCCTCGCATTGCACAGGCGAGGATAAGGCTTGCCACTGACACCCTTCCCCAGACCCCGCACAGAGCGGGAGCTCTCTGCACTGGGTATGCGCCTTTTTAAAGACAAGCTTCGCCTCTTTTTGGCATGGTTGAGTTGGCTACCTGCCTGGACCAGAGGCGTCAACGAGTGTGTCAACTGTCAACTCTTCTATGTGAATTCCTCTGTTTCCTGACCAGTCTTTGGATACAGAAGGACATTGGCTCTTCAATTATCTTAATGAATTATGATTATATTTCGGTTCGTTGCAATTATCCCTTTGTTTCACAAAGCTGGAGCAGCGCACTGAAGCCGTGAATGTGGATTGTTGTCTAGCGAAGGCAATGGTTCGCTGAATTTCTGTAGTGTTGGGCCATTCAATAATCATGATGCCAGTGAGGCACTGCCGCATTGGAGATACCTGAACAAAAATCACTGGATTCAACAACAAAATAGAATGAATGTGCATGTGCATGGTTAAAGTCTATAAAATACAAATTCATGGATTTTGCTCATATTCCATGTCAGAATGTCAGATGAAAGCTGATTCAGCTGTCGCCTATTATGATCTAGAATATCATGGAACTGGGGGGCATCAAATGAATTGCAGTTGCAGTATGTTGGCCAGTCATTTCCATTTTGAATACAAAATGAACTGTGTTTTATTTAAGATTGATGAGGCCACCATTGACATGAGCTAACCATGTGCCAATCTTAAAGAGGAAGAACCTACTTTGCATCTCAGATGTTTCATTAAAGTAAGTTACTGATGTAAAATAGTCTTCTTTATTATAAATTCATGTATGTAGAAACCCAGTTTCAAGTTGTTATGGTTGGCACCACATATGAGCGTAGGGACAGGCGGCAAAGTGGCTGAACCAGCCAGGGAGCGGTCACCACGCTGGCCTTGCCAGGGTCGGTCTCTTTTGAGTTATAGAAGATTTGGGTTGGTTAGGAAAGAGTCAACTGATTGTTAAGTTTCCTATTTGTTAGCATAAGTTGTTAGAGTCCTCAATGTATAAGTATCAAACTTTGAGATTAATACGGACTAGCTTGGGATTGTGTCTTTCTTGACACCCTTGGGCGCCTGGCGCCTCCCCCGTTCTCTCCTTCCTGCATAAACCCTAGCCGCCAGTCACGGCTCCAACTCGACGCAAGCCCCAGAGCCCTCGCATCCCTCATTCCCCTCCATACGCTCTGAGAAGCAAGGACCGACGCCGTACCAACTTGGTATCAGAGACCTTGCCGATCATGGACGCCGCCACCGCCAACACCACCAACGCCCCAGCGCCGCCGATCCCACCCACCACCTCCCACGTTGCGACGATGGGCGTCCTGGTGAACATCACCGGCGCGCTCGCCAACACCACCCCACCCTCCGGCCCACCCACGCTCGCCTCGATCGCGGAGATCCTCGCCAGCATGCAGTTGCAGATGTCCGCCATCAACAACCACCTGGCTGATCAAGGCGCTCGCTTGTCCGCCATTGATGGCCGCCCGCCATTTCCACAATTCGGTTTGCCCGGCTATGGTGGCGTGCCGCACTCCCACCCGTGATCACGGAGCTAACGCCGGGGGACTTGTCCGCTTCTGTCTCGCCGCTCCTGCAGATGACCACCCCGGCGCCGCAGGAGTCCCGGACAGCGGCACCGCCGTCCATGGGAGTGCCGATCCATCAGATCAATTTCCCGCGCTCGCCCTCGCCGATTCCGGGGTTCCCATCTTTCGGGATGCCGGTCTACTCCGCGCCGACCTCGCACATGTCGATGATCGCACCCCACGCAAGGGCGCCCTATTCCGGCCCAACGTACGGGGGCGCACCGCCGGAGTTCGAGGGTTTTGCCGTGCCTAAATACCACAAGCTCACCTTCAACATCTTCGACGGCAAGGAAGATCCTCTCGGATGGCTCAACAAGTGTGAGCAGTTCTTCCGCGGGCAGATGACCCGGGAAGTCGACAAGGTATGGTTGGTCGCTTATCATCTTACCGGTGTGGCCTTGCAGTGGTACATCGTCCTGGAGGCGGACATGGGGCGGCCCACATGGCTGGATTTCCGTCGGCTGTGCCAGCAGCGGTTTGGCCCCGCCCTCGGCACCAACCACCTCGCCGACCTCGCGCGCCTGCCGTTCGGCGCTTCGGTGGATGCGTACATGGAGGCGTTCCAGGCACGCGCCGCCCACGCCGGCGAGCTCTCCACGCTCCAGAAGGCGCGCTTGTTCACCGGCGGTCTTCCGGAGTATATACGCGTGGACGTCGAACTCCAGGACCCTCAGGACCTCCAGCACGCCATGCGGCTGGCGCGCGCGTACGAGCGGCGCAATGCACCCCAATT